TTGTCATAAAGAAAAAACTATATTGGCAATTCCGAAAAAGCACACACTTAACCATTTTAGTTTTATAAAATACGTTGAGATTGCCTTTGCTGAATATAAAGTTGAATAAAATTTACAAGTCTTTTCTCGAAGTGACTTCACAATACAACTAAACTATTTATGCAGCTTACTCTGTCAGTTCCTCGAATGCGGATTAAAAAGCAACAAGTAAAAAAGCAGATAAGTTCGGCCGGCCGGAACTTTTAATATTCTCCACCGTTTGGAAGGAACTTGAAAATTTTCCAAAAACTACCGGAAACTAAAACTGTTATATGGAGACTATACGAAGACGTGAACTTGCTTACAAAATTTTTTGTCATAGGCTGTAGTACCCATTACGAACTTCAAATACCAAATTTGAAACAATTCCGGTGAATAATGTCGCTATAATGATCAAAATTGTGAATATCGGGATGTACCGTTAAATGGAGGATATACGAAAACGTGCACCTACATTGGTGGCCAAAACTAAAGCAACTGAAATTACAAGGAGAATGAATGCCATGTAACTTTTTTAAAAATTAAGAAAATGAAAAAGTTTTTCTAGTTTTAAATTAGGCACTTTATTCGCCTTATAAAAACTTAAAACAAAAAACCAAAATTAATTTTTATATAAAAAATAATGTATGGTAAGGTCAATTAACCCGATTTTGGCTTGGACAAAACAAAAGCAACTCTGTTGTACATTCATATAATCGTTGCAATGTCAGTTGTTTTTACTGTTATATCTATTGCTTTTTGTTTCCTTCAACAATTTCGCTTGTCATAAACTATTTTTGAGAAGTTTTCTTACAATAGCACGTGTTTGTTTTCGTTTTTTTTTAAGTACTGCCCAAAAAAGTTTAAAAATGGCTAGAAGGAAATACAGTACATGAATAAAACAGCAAATTATCAGTGTTTATGAAAACAAGATATCACAGAAAATAATTTCCGAGAAATATTTCATAAATATATCTTCGATTTCTCGTATACTAAGTCGGTTTTATGCAACTGGAACAGTAGTAACAGTCTATATCGGATAAAGGTCATGAAAAACTTCAGCCCGTACTGATCAACAAATTGTGAGAGAAATAAAAAAACAACCATTTAAGAGTCCAACTGAGTTGGTGAGAGAGCTATCATTGGATATAAGCTCGAGATCAGTACGTAGACGAGTAGTGGCAGCTGGTCTGCATGCCCGTAAGCCATCAACAAAGCCATTTATATCAGAAAAAATCGGAAAGCCTTTCGAAAACGATAATATTAATTGGAATCCAGCTCAATGGAAAAACATTTTATTATGGGATGAGTCTAGCTTTAATATTAAAGGCTCAGACATGAAAACTTTTACGGTGAGAAGACCAAAAAATGAAAGACTAAAGCCGTAGTGTTGCAAAGGTACAGTAAATCACGAGGGAGGGTCAAAAATGGTGTGGCGCTGTTTTTCTTTGTATGGACTTGGGCCTATCCATGAAATAGAGGAAATTATGGATCGGTTTGTTTGCAAAGATGTGTTGGACCTCATGTTGTTCCCTTTCGCTGAGGAAAATATTCGGCTTATTTGGGTTCTTCAACATGACAATGATCCAAAACATGCATTAAAACTTGTCAAAGATTGGCTGCGGGAGTCAAGAATCGATGTTTAGTCATGGCCTGCACAATCACCTGACCTAAACCCCATAGAAAACCTTTGTAGTATCGTAGACAGGAAGAGATTCAAGAGATTCGGAAACAAAAAAACAACATTTTCCAAAGAATTCAGGGTGCCTGGGAAAGCATACCCAAGGATCAAATTGAGCGTGTTATAGATTCAATGCTTCGTAGGTGTGCAGCTGCTATCTAAAATAATGGTTATGCTATCGACTAGCCAAAATTTAATTATTTTAAAATAAAAAATCAAAAATTTGCTTTAGTTTTGACCAAGCAAAAAATTGGGTCATTTTCGTTTTCCGTATATTATTTTTCATTCAAAATTATTTTTGTATTTTCATTTTTAGTTTTTTAAAAGTAAATAAAGTACCTCATTTAAAACTGGAAAAATAAATACGACTTGTTTATTTTTGTAAAAGTAACCGGGTATTTATTGTCTTTGCGATTTCAGTTGCTTTAGTTTTGGCCACCAGAGTATATACGATTTTTTGTCATAGACTGTTGTACCCATTACCAACTTTAAATACGAAATTTGTTACAATTCCAGCGAATAATGTCGCACAAATCATAAAAATGTTAGTTATTGGGAGGTACCGTCATATGGAGACGTGGACCTGCACACAAAATTTGTCATAGGCTGTAGCACCCATTACGAACTTCAAATACGAAATTTGAAATAATTCCGGTAAATAATTTCGCACAAATCATAGAAAAATTTAATATTGGGAGGTACCGTTATATGGGGGCTATACGAAGACGTGGACAAAATTTGTTTCCATAGGTTGTAGTAACCATTAAGATCTCCCAATACGAAATTTAAAGCGATTCCTGTGAATAATCATCAAAATACCGAATATCGGGAGGTACCGTTATATGGGGCTATACGAAAACGTAGACCGACATGGCCCATTTACGAACTTAACCTACCTACTGGTAAACTATGCATGTATACAAAATTTTAGCCTTCTATCTCAATTCGTTCGAAAGATAGCGTGATTAAAACAGGCATACAGACGGACATCGCTAGATCGTCTTAGAATTTTACGCTGATCCAGAATATATATATTTTCTAGGGTCTATTATAAATATTTCAAGGAGTTACAAATGGAATGAGAAAGCTAATATATCCTCCATAGAATGGTGGAGAGTAAAAAATAATAATAGTAATAATAATAAATAATAATAGTAATAGTAATAAAAACATTGCTTGTCTATACTTGGTCAGTCGTACCGGTGACAAAGTCAATAGTAAGTCACAAGTAATTCGCACACGTCAAAATCGAACGCCATGCAGGAGAAAAATCAAAAAATTTAAATTTTGCTTCATATATCGTATCATGGTAAAATGAAGAAGGTAAAGTCATTTCAAATAAGCCTACCCATCTCTGCATTTTCTGTAACTTACCTTGTCACCATGGCCCTTTACCTTGTCACCATTACTAGATGAAATGTCAAAATTAATGCTTGAGGCAAGATAGATCTAACAGTTAACCGCATCGGCGAATTGCTACAACAAAGCAACTTTTGTGGTCCCCTCAAATGTCAAAATTGGCATCTAAGGCAAAAAACATAGATTCGCCATGACATTTAAAGGTTGCGGCAAATTTGTATCAACCAATCAGAAACGAGGTGTTTGTTTACATTTTATTTTGTGTGCCTCTCGTCGTAAGCGAACGTCGCAATAAAAGTTTTTATTGTAAAACAAATAAGAGTAAAATAAGTATTAATTGTAGTATTGCGATATTTTTTAAACCAAGAAACTTATAATGACTATATTTTACTGGTTTAAACGGAAAGTTTTCCGGAACTGCAAATGACAAGAGTCGAATTCTTGCACTACTTCCCGTGATGTGCTTTGGGAATCTTAGATGTTGAGGCTAACTTAATTTTTAAAGCTGCACTCCATTCTAACTTCCTTCCTTCATTTTCTTTTAATTTTTTTACTGGTTTCACTCTTAACTTGCTCTTAAATTATTTGAAATATAAAAAGGTACTTTTAGGGAAGACAACATAAACAAATTTGTTGTTGCATTCATTTAGGGCGAATTCTTCATTACAACAATTTGTTTTGACATTTAATGGTGCCGTCAGCTGGGCTGATGCGATTACCTAGTACATCTAACTCGCCCAGTACATCTGCCTTGGCTTGAGGCGAAAATAAATATTTTCGCCTTGACAGAAGAATTTTGTGGCGAATACGTTTGCTGTCAATTTTTTGTATATATAACACATGGTAGAAAAATACAGATAGACGCATCGACGCAGTAGCTGGGACAATGAACTGACAAACTGACTTTTTGTACAATGTTCCTGACATAAGTCTGATGTAGATAGATATTGCCACGAGTCATGCTTGCACCTTATCGGCTAATCGATTTATTTTATTCGCATCGGCCTCAAAGCTGATTTTCAATCAGCTGATAGTGCTGGATAGATGTTATTGAGAAAAATTGTTCGACTAATGAATGTATAGACAACGTAAAGTTAGTTTTGCCTTTTTATTCAGGTGGCACGATTTGGCATAGTCAACATGCTAATTGACTCAGTCGGCCTAGTCGACGACTTCGAAAACCCATTTCATTATTTTTCAAGAACTTATACTTGGATCATGCTTGTCACATTTCACTACATAATAACAGGTTTCCATCTCTGATTTGTACAATGGATTTATAAATACAAATTTTGACAATGAGATGTTGTCTAATGGATATTAAAAAAAAAAAAACTGTAAACATATGATTGTATGACTTTACCTCCTTAATTCTACCATGCATCGAATGTGTGACGCATACATACAAATTTTCACTAACACCACTAATCAAAGACCTAAAATGGTAAAGACTGGACAAAATGCATTTTAACCAAAGGGTTTGTGTCTACAATACATAGATTAACAGCTCATGGCAAGGACATGTTAATATAAAAACCACAATTACAGAAACGGAATACAAATAAAATTTTGAAAAATCCAAAATTTTGGTTTCAAAATTTCATTCGATGGGCCTTTCTAAAAATTTGCATATTGCGTTAGCGGTTTAAATCAGTTAACATTGGTAACTATGTTGTTATGATATCGTAACAACAGAGGTATTTTCCCAGGGTTACCATATCATGCTTTTTGATCGTGTGCGGGGCATTTTAAATATTTGTGGCAACATGTGTTTGGCATAGTTGCCACACACCTAAAGTTTTTCGTACAATCGCATACTCTAAACAGTGATGGAAAATTCTGAAAAAATCTTACCATTCTTTTGCATGTTTTTTAAACCTTTCATTGTAGTATTCAAAACAATAAAACATTTCTTGAAATTTATTTTAGTAGTACACATAGAATAAATAAATCGCAGTAAATGCAATTTAAGAGTCACTTCGTTATTTATTGGTTGTTAGAAATGTACCACTCTTTGACTGCTATTCCGAGTTGTTCACAACACTGTCATTGTGTACTGCAAAACAAAACAACAACAGCCGGTGTTGTGCAACAGTAGGCAAATAACAAGTGCAAAGTGAGGAGATGATCAGATCCAGTCAAATTTTAAAAAAGGCCTTGGCACGGTCTTTTGCTACGGTAAATTTCATAATTTTTCAGCAAATATAAATTAAAAATATATAACATGTTCAATATTCATTCAAGAAAACATTTGTGCCAGAAGTTCGTATAGTTGAAGTGGGACCCCGAGATGGTTTGCAAAACGAACCTAAAATATTGCCCTCCGAGGTCAAAATATCTCTTATCGATCAACTTTCTGAAACTGGATTAAAAACGATCGAGGCAACAAGTTTTGTTAGTCCGAAGTGGGTGCCACAAATGGGTGACAACGCTGAAGTATTGCAGGGGATACGTAAAGTGGAAGGAATTTCTTATCCGGTACTTACTCCCAACTTGAAGGGCTTTGAAGGCGCCCTTAAGGCTGGAGCACAGGAAGTTGCTGTTTTTGGAGCTGCCTCTGACGCTTTCTCACAAAAAAATGTTAATTGCACTGCTGCCGAGAGTATCGAACGCTTTCGACCAGTATTGGAAGCTGCAAAAAAGCATAACATCAAAGTGCGCGGTTATGTTTCAACGGTAGTTGGTTGTCCATACCAGGGTCCAATTAAACCGAGTGATGTTGTAAAGGTTGCTGGCGCCCTTTATGATATGGGTTGCTATGAAATCTCATTGGGAGACACAATTGGTGTTGGTACTCCTGGAACTATGCGCAAAATGCTTGATGAAGTCGTCCGAGCTGTACCTCCTGAAAAATTGGCTGTGCATTGCCACGACACATATGGCCAAGCACTTGCAAATATATTGACATCCTTAGATTATGGTATATCTGTGGTAGATTCCTCGGTGTCAGGTTTGGGCGGTTGTCCTTATGCTCGTGGTGCCTCCGGCAATGCTGCAACTGAGGACGTGGTCTATATGCTGCACGGAATGGGCGTAACTACTGGAATTGACTTAGAGAAACTAATTTATGTTGGCCGCTTTATTTGTCAAAAACTGGGTCGAGTGTCAGAATCCAAAGTCAATAGAGCTTGGAAGGGTTCCCGCGAGTGAAAACGTCCACAAACTTCAAGCCAAATGTGTGATTAAACTGTAAACGATGCATTTATTCATTAATAATAAGACAAAACAGATATGAATTTCTTTTATTTCTCCGAGAACCATTTATAAAAATAATACATAAGAATAAGCAAAATAATACATAAGCATTTACTGTATTATACAATGCAAACTAAACTCTTACAACCGATTATTATATCGGTTTAAATATAGACGAACTCTTAAAACTTCTGTGCGTCCATAATTGTGTACATTGAAACGTCGCCAGACATTACTGAAAGGTCAGCTAAACTGGCGTTATTGGGTTGTGATGTTGATATTCTAGCTTCGGAAACAGCCGATACCGTGAGCATTGGGGGTGGTGGCATTGTTGTTTTACTACTTATGCCCCCTGGCATCTTGATTTTTCCATCGTGTCTTAGAACAGCTGGCATCATTGCATTTTCTAGGTACTTTTGAATCTTTTTTCCGCCAGGTATGGTGACAGGAGTGCGTTCATCAACAATCTGAAAATACATCGTGTTTAAAAAGTCTGAATAAACAACATGAAAAGTTTACTTATGTACACATCTCGTTTTGAGAAATGTACCATGGATCTGCATATCACACATTGACACTATACCTAATACGAGTAGAAATATTTTTGAAGACAACCGACACATCTTCATGCGAGATCTATCGTTTTCTAATTGAAATATGCAAAGTTTGAAGAAAATTGGAAATTGTTTTCATATTTTATGAGAGTTGTTAGGATTCTAAATTTTGATCTTTAAGGGGGATGGGGTGTGTGAGAAGTAATGGGTCAATATTTTCCATGTTTGTTCCTGACATAAGTCTGATGTAGCTAGATATTGCCACGAGTCATGCTTGCACCTTATCGGCCAATCGATTTATTTTATTCGCATCCGCCTCAAAGCTGATTTTCAATCAGCTGATAGTGCTGGATAGTTGTGACTGAGAAAAATTGTTCATAGACTAATGAATGTATAGACAACGTAAAGCTAGTTTTGTCTTTTTATTCAGGTGGCACGATTTGGCATAGTCAACATGGTAATTGACTCAGTCGGCCTGGTCGACGACTTCGAAAACCCATTTCATTATTTTTCAAGAACTTGATTATTCCCGTATTTTTTGATGTCATCACGTTATTTACACTTATATTTAATTCTGGAATATGTTTTAATATCAAATATCCTTCAATATTTTCACTCATATCCCTGAAACGACATGACGACATCTGCTGATCCGAATCTTGTCGAAGATTAATGGTGAGAGCATTCCTTCGCCTATCTTTTCATTAGTCAAGATTTCAAAATTGCTCCTTTCATTTGTTCTCATTTACTGGGGCTTTTGGGTTATAGAAAAACATTTTTCAAAAATTTGTACAAATTATTGGGTTATCGTTTGAAAACAGAAGGCTTTCATTCCGTTTGTAACACCTCGAAATATACATTTTAGACCCCAGAAAGTATATATATTCTTGATCAGCATAAAATTCTATGTCGATTTATCAATGTCCGTCCGTCTGTGGAAATCACTCTAGCTTCCGAACGAAATGAAGTAGGTTGATACAATTTTACTCAAATGTGTACTATATCTGCAGGACTTTTGGTATTGAAAATGGGCCATGTAGGTCCACGTTTTCGTATAGCCCACATATAACGGTACCTCCCGATATGCGGTATTTTGAAGATTCTAGCGACATTTTTTACCGGAATTGTTTCAAAATTAATTTAAAGTTCGTAATAGATGGTACGGCTTAAGACAGAAAATGGGCCATGTAGGTCCACGTCTTCGTATAGCCCCCACATAACATTACGTCCCGATATTCGGTATTTTGATGATTTTAGCGACATTTTTTAAGGGAATTGTTTTAAATTTGGTATTTGAAGTTTGTTATAGATACTTCAGCATAAAACAGAAAATGGGCCATGTAGGTCCACGTCTTCATATAGCCCCCATGTAACGGTACCCCCGATATTCGGTATTTTGAAGATTTTAGCTACATTATTTACCGGAACTATTTCAAATTTGGTATTTGAAGTTCGTAATGAATACTATAGCCTACGACTTAAAATTGTCTGTGCAGGTCCACGTCTTCGTATAGCCCCTATATAACGGTACCTCCTGATATTCGGTATTTTCATGATTTAGCGACATTATTTACCAGAAGTGTTTAAAATTCTGTATTTGAAGTTCGTAATGGATGCTTCAGCCTATGAAAGAAATTTGGCTGTGCAGGTCCACGCCTTCGTATAGCCCCCATATAACGGTACCCCGATATTCGGTATTTTCATGATTTACCGAAATTGTTTCAAATTTCGCATTTGAAGTTCATAATGGATATTACAGCCTATGACAGAAAATTGTCTGTGCAGATCCACGTTTTATAACCACCACGGTATCTCACTATATTCGGTATTTTGATGATTTTAGCTACATTATAAACAGATTTTTTCTTTCAAGTTTCGCATTTGAATATTGTAATAGCTTGTGACAAAATTGCCTAGGCAGGTCCACGTAGTCGTATAGACTCTAATATACGGCTACATTAGGAATTTTCAAGATATTAACAGAATTTTTAACGGATTTCATTTTTTTGAAAATTGTTAAATTTGTACCAAATGGTGGAGGGTATTCAAAGTTCAGCCCGGCCGAACTTACAGCTATTTTACTTGTTTTTCATTTATTAGATCGCAACTCTACATGACATTAGAGATAACCCTTATGTTTAAAAAGTTAAGGCCTGATGAACATCTAAAAGGAAATTATGTAACTTCATAACCAATAAAAATTCAACAATACATATAAACAAAAATGTTACACCACTTACATGTTTAAGTTGCGATGAAATATACGCTTTTTTAGGCAATGTTGATTTTGAATTCAACGAACCAGGTAAAGGTGACAGTCCACCATTCGTTGAGTTTGCCAGTGATGTGTTCGTGCCAATTTTAGCCTGACACAATCGAGATTCATATTCCAGCTCTCGAAATGCCGATGAATTAAGTACATTTGCATTTGTGCTTTTCATTTTGCCAGTTGACATGAGGGGAGTGGAGGCTGTTTTTTTCATGTATGCCCCCACTGGACTTACGATGTGGGAAAAATGTTGTTTATTACTAAGTTCCTTCTGGCGAGGATGGTTAGCTACTGACTGTTGATTTTTACCGAATATTTCCAATTTCGGAAAGGGTCGCATGTCAAGGGCGAACCGACTGGAAGATGATTGCTGTATATTTTTATTCGATGATTTTATAAATGTGGACGATTTCGGTACTTTTGCTGTTAAGAAGAAACATATATAAAATAAATAATAATAATGATAATTAAATTGTTGGTACCTTTTGTCTCGGATTGGGTTGTAAAGATCCGTTTTGACTCTTCAACTGATGGTGAGTTTGGCTGGGTTTTTGGCAAATCCATTGACGCTAATGGCTTCTTACTTTCCGTACTCGACTTCGGTACATATTCTTTAGCAGCCATATATTCCATACCTTTCTGAAGCAAGTACTCTACTTCCTCCATTGTATCGTTGAATTTGATTGATCTTTCCGAAGATGACTCAAATGAATAGTTTTCCTTATCTTCCTGATATAATTTTTTTAAACTTTCATTGGTAGTATTGTGCTCGAATTTTATATTTGTATGTGGCTTAGATAACAAGTTTTCCTCTTCTTCGTCTGAAATTATATCTATTACCGAAGTGTCTTCCTCATCCGAATCGAGAATTTCATTGATATCACGTTCATCTTTATCGAATGCTGCATCTTCGTTGATGTCACATTTATCCTCATCAATTATTATGACCGAATTTACGTGTTCTTGTTGCTGAGGACTCAGAGTGGTTTCCAAATCAATTGTTTCTACGGTGGCTGGGTTTTCATCGGACTTGCTCCAATCACTACAATCTACGGCTTTCAATGCTTGTGTTTCAGATGGTACACCATGCGATACACCAAAATTTAATGTAGCAATTCTGGTCTTATTTATGGCATGTGTTAACATTTCGTCGACGTTTATTTCTCGGCATTCGTTCGATACCTCAGCACGAGAGCTAGCACTAGTCGATTCGTGTGCTGTATCATATGAACTAGAAATATCGCTCGATATCAATCCCTTTATCGAGGCTGTTTCGAAACTGGCTTGCGATGATGTGTCCGAATTTCTGGACTCATCGATGGGTTCCTCGATTATAGTTGAAGGCCTCATTAAACCCACCATTTTAACCGGTGAAGTGCGAAAGCCAGCATCAACGGCAATAGTATTTTCCCATAGCCGTGATGGAGCCTCCACATCATCGAGCAGTGTGCAGTCACCAAATTTTGCCAATAATTGATGTTCATTACCACTATCTTAAAAAATAGAAATATTAAATATCGTTTGAAATATTAGCTATTTAAATCCGTTGTAAAAATTACCGATATTCTTCTCTTCAACAATGGCTTCTGTGCTACGTTTCTTCGCCGCCGCCAATACTTGTTCCTTATGGTCACTGTGTAGGTATTCAAAGAGTGTGCTATTAGGATCGGAAGCTGTTTTATCGCACATTTTCTCCAGAATTTCAAAACTTTCGTCAGCTTTATTCCAATGCGAATCGCAATTAACTTGTTTCAATTCCTCATTTTGCTGTAAGTAACGGAATAATGTGCTATTTGGATCCGAAGCAGTTTTTTCACACATCTTCTCTAAAGCTTCAAAGCTTTCATTGGACACGTTTTCCACGTTTGGTCCTGACGTCTTCCTGTTAACATATTTACTCATCTTTTCTCGTGCTGTTTCTTCAGAAGCACATTCAATTTTTCCCAGATTCTTCTGTCTTTTCCTATCTCTTATCAGATCCTGCAAATCTTTGCTAACATCCAAGCTGTAGCGTGGACTTTCAACCGTAGTGATAACTTTCTTCGTAGCTGGCTTTCTGTAGGCAATAAAAGTTATTGTTTTACATGTTTTGGAGTGCATATCGTTCAGTTACTCAAAGATTTGCATAACTCGCTATAATTCGTTTGCTATTTCTTTTTTTCTACAAATCTTACTTTTTTCATTTTTATATCTGTAGAACTCAAGGAGTTACAGCTTTTTTATTTGGAGTTTCATTTCATTTATTTCATACAATTCAATATAAATAAGCCAACATGGCCAAAATCTTATATTAACATACAACAGTAAAAAAACAGTCTATAACCAAATTATTCTAAAAAAAAAACTAAATAAATAACAAAAATTATCAACGAATGGTAAAATATATACAAAAAATAATAATAATAATTTAAATTTAATAGCAATTTAGCAATTAGATCCTCAGACAAATCACTTAAATCAACACTTTATCCAAATCATACTTGATCATGTATCGAAGTTTAGCATTTATATCTGCAGTGCGATTTTCAAACTACCTAACGAGGCTACAAACAATTGTCAGTAATTTAGCGACGAAATGGAAATAGCCGCAAAGTCCTGCCAACTTTCATTCACTTTTTACACCAACAGTTTGCGTTTGAAAGTTACCGATTTTTTTAGTAGAGAGTCCTACAACTGATTCCATTATTGCAAGTAATTGTCAAAGTATATTTTTGTGCAATATTATTTTTAATTCGGAAAATCAAATATAAATAGATAACTTAAAATGCGGTTTCTCTAAACTGATTTTTGGAGATGTGACACTCTTTGGGCAAATGAGCGATATGCATAATTCATCAATGATTGCTCTGTTCCAGAACCGCAAGTATATAAAAGTTTTTACTATGGGACAGATTTTTCAGTTCCGGAACAGAGCAAATGTATGTATTCATATCAGAGGATTCGATAGGGTCATGCAATAATGTTACTACCACAACATTTTTTTTTCCTTATGGTATAGAAAAACAAAATTACAAAACTAGTAGGTTCTTGGAGGTTTTGAAACAGAGCAAAGGCGGGTAATGCAATGAGGTCAGGTTATGGGCCTTTTCCTGTATGACGACATATACGTGTATGCGAACAAAATTTTTTGATTTCTTTATTGAAAACGTGTTTTCTGCAAAAAAACTGCAATTCAGTTTCGTGTTCGTGTTTTTTTTAACTGCTCCCAAAGTTAACCTGAAGCACAAATATTTCTCAAAGTTGCCCTTTGTGGACAAATTTGGATTTTTGTGAAAATTGTAAGCTAGAAATTGTTCTAGTTTATTTATTTATTTATTTATTTATTTATTAATCCATTTGTAATAAAAAGGCCTAACAGACCGTATACAACTATTACATAGCTTCCTTAAACCTGAGTTAAAACAATTCAAAAATAAAAGTAAATAAATTCATAATTTTATGATATATACAATAATAACGTAATACTACTATAAAAAGTACTTATTATTGGCTCCCCAGCCATAAAAATTTTAATACAAGGTGATTAATATCCATGTTAACAATAACTTCTAGATTAGATAGCAACAAATCAAGTTATAAAGCGATGAGATATAACAAATTAGGATGCAAGATGTTGTAGCAGTTTTAATCGAAAAACATTGTTAGAATGTGAAAAAACTCTTAATTCCTGGGGTAATGTGTTCCAACATCGTGCGACCCATACCACAAACGATCGTGCATAATCATTTCTAAAGATCCTAGGAACAAAAATTTGAGGGTTTCTTGTTGAGTGAGAAAAGGTGAAAATCATCCTCAAGGAAATTGGCTTCATTAAATGAACATCCGATAAACCCTTTCACATATTAAGGTATATGTTCTCTTCCACGGACATTATATACAAGTAAATAGCGAACTGTCCTTGAGGTAATGATAAATATATCAAGGGATATGTGGAATATATAATTTAAATTCAAAATAAAACATGCAGAAATTCAACCGAAATTTCCCAATCTGATGAGTTTTAGTATTTGTGAAGAAGATGCAGATGCTTAAGTTAGGGAAAAAAGCCATCAAGAACCTCAGCCGGAAGACCATGGACAAAATCAAGTTTGTTATATTTTAATATTACTAGTTACTAATATTACTTTATTAAGCTTATTATACAATAACAAGCACATGCTTTCAAATAAGAGTTCAATTTCGATTATTCTCAATTATATGATTTTTAAAGTATATGGATTGTGTTCTTAAGCTTATTATATAAATAGCATAATAATATTGTTATCTTGGTACTCCATAGAAAAAAAAAAAGAATTAGTTGGTAGCCACTGTCTGCCATATATTCATTGTACCATTCTACCCATCTATGACCTATGAACAGGTCAAAAAGTAAGCCCATTTGACTGCCAATTTTGTTATATACACTGATGCACTACACACCATATCCACATATCTTAGTAGAGGACTGAACTAGAACAGTAGTACCGACTCTTGACTTATCAATGTCCTTAAATAGTGTCGATCATACCATTTTGTTCGAGAACGAGACTAGTTTGAAACGTTGGATAACCAATTATATGTATGGACGTCAGTCGTGCTTGGAATCGGATCACAGATATGCTCGTTTTCACTCAAAGAGCAGGAGTTTACTCATCACTCTTTTGAGTGACTCTTTTATCACTCGAAGAGTGGGAGTTTACACTTCACTCTCTTGTTTAATATGGGCGCACTCCTAAGTCGCTTCTGTTTGAAAAATTTGGACTGGGAGCTGAATCGCTCGTAATAGAGCGAGAATTTGCTCAAGGAGAGAAATCAAGCAATCGAGTTGAAAAAATTTTTGTTTACAGATTTGTGTGTGTGTTTAATTTATAAAATAGAATTTCAAAAATGAGTACGAAATAAGACCCCATTCTCAGTGAGAATAATTTGGGGAAAATAATTTAATCTACTAATATTATATGCGTAATTACCATAATAATTGGATGAAGGCTTAGAATATGTATTTTGAAAGAATCATGCAAACAAATTTGCTGTTTAAAGGTCGACCCCTGACTCCCTACAACTAACTTTCATGTTACTAGGAAATTCACGAATGAGACGAATAATATGTGGGGTAAACCAAATTGGGCCCGAATCGGGATAGAACTTCAATAATGGAGCTGACATACCCAACGCATTGAAATTTGCAGATCTGTTACCTTGACTAGCCCAACTCAAATTGGAAAATAAAGAACGAAGGAGATCAATATTAGTCTTAGAAAAATTTAACTTGTAAGGTTTAGTTTGTATTTTTGCACAGTTTGTTTGAATATTAAGATCAAGATTTAGGATAAGCGATGGGTGAAATTTATCTTCAGGTTCCAAAAAAGGTGGACATTTACTTAAGAGTTGTTAACGATAGAGGAAAAAAATAAGTGTAATATTTTACCTTTAAAATTATAAAAATCATTTATTTGACATAAACCTTGGTCAAAAATATTTTGCCAAAATTTTTCCATATCATTAGACCATACTTTTCCCGAGACAGGTAAGTAAGGTGCCGTATCATTACCTAATCGCCAAGGCAATTCGGAATTTGGCGAGTAAATATGTGAAATTTCTTTCAGAATGTTTTAAATAAATGCTCGAATCATAATTCGGAGGAATGTAGGAACACGTTATATAAAGAATTTGGTTAACGTAAGCTAATTTCACACACACAAACATTTTGGTTATCGATAAGCATAACATGCTCAGAGAAAATGGAATTGTGAACTGCTATGAGTACTCCTCCACCGACTTTATTCAATCTATCATTTCTAAAAAGTTGGTATTGATCGGATAAAATTTCGGTATCCTAAAATTGTAAAAACGAGTATTTAATGTTTCTGTAAAAACGAGTATTTTAAAATCACATTCGAAAGAATTTAAGTATGTATTTTTAAGTTTAGTCTTTAGGCCTTTAACATTTTGATAAAGAAAAGACATACATTTATTTAGTTTTTTTTTTTTTTTTTTTTTTTGATATTTGACTGAGGAGGTAACGTTATTAGTTTTACTTTCTTTAAATACAAATTCTTTAACCAGTGTACCGTCTGGCCAAAAGGATTTTTTTAACATTAAATCATACAATTTCGAAAGAACGGTTATTTTTAATGACGATGTATTGCGGTGTGTAGATGAATTAAATTTCAAAATATTATAGTCGTTATCGATTTTGAATTTTGGACTTAATATAATTACTAATGTACTAGGATGTAGTCTAGAAACAAATATACTTTTTCTAGGAGCTACTACGATCAATTCGTTATAACAAGTAATGTTTTTGTTGATGTAATATTTTCTGTTTAAGTTTTTTTACAAAATAAAATAAAAATCCAAATTCGAAAATTAAAATAACAACTTCAAACCCATTTAATAAATTAGTTGAAGAGTTGAAAAAAAATTAACGATCGAAGCCGTTACGGAATACCAAATTAGTATTGACGTCGACAAGTGACTGCTATCAAAAACATAATTGTGACTTGAAATTAAAAGAAAGTCAAATCACAATGGTGCACAAAAGCTTGCTCGGGCTGTCTATCCGTCAGGTGTCAAAATTTTTCATGACGAGATGACTAGGTCAACAAATCTTGTCAAAATGTGACATAAATTATACGTTGATATTGATGATTGGACGAAAATATTCACCAAGATTCGGAAAATATCGCCATTTCATAAGACCTCATATTTTCCTAGCTTAACACAACGATGAAATGAATGAACAAACATTTTGCTTTAACACACCACCACTTCCAGTACTATGTAACCACTTCCAATACTATGTAACTGGTGTAAAATCAAGAGGGATAATTAACCCAATAAATGCGACGGTAACGTAACGTACCAAATATATGCAATTTCATTAAGGATATCCTCAAGACAACATCTGTGAGGGAGAATCGCTAGATTAAGAAATCGAAAAGAAATTTCTCCGCCACGAATGGGTTAAAAGAGATGAACGTGGAAATTACATTACATTTAAATGAGAACATCCTATTATTAAAGCGATGTATGTTATGTAAATATATCTTGTAAATTGTTTAATCAGAATATTATTAGAAACATGAGGGTTTCCTTAACCCGTCACAAGTGAAAACATGAAATTATTTTCTACTAGCTGTATCCAACGAAGGAACATCAAAACATACTGTAAACGCATCTAAATAACAATCAGAAGCCCTATTCTGTAATATTTTGACAAGTTTGCTTGTTATTTATTTTTTTTTTTTTTTTTCAAAATCTTCATTTGTTAATTATACCCTACAACACTATGTGTTGGGGGTATTATAAGTTTGATTGGGCCAGAATTTATGTAACACCTCGAAATATTGGTTTCCCATATAGGAAAGTATATATGGATCTTCCTAGCTCGCCGAGCTGAGTCGATCTAGCTATGTATGTCCGTCCGTCCGTCTGTCCGTCTGTCCATGTTAATTTGTAATCACTCTACAGGTCGCAATTATGGCCCGATCTTCACGAAATTTAGAATGGAGGTGGGGTTAAGGTCAGAATAGAACCCTATTTCTTTTGAAGATGATCGCATAATATTTAGGGGTTGAAATGGACCAAATACTGAAAAAATGTCGGATTTTGCAGTAGCTATACAGGTCGCAATTATAGACCAATCGACGCGGAATTTCGCATGTAGCTAGAGTTTAGGGCGGGGAAGAAGCCTACCAATTTTGATGGTCATCGGATAATATTTAGCGGGTAAAATAGACCATATCTTTTTTGTTGAAAAAATTCAAAATTCTTCATTAAACCGCGAATATTTTAAATCCCGGCGAAATCACAAAGTCATGACAAGGTTACTTCTGAACTTTACATTGATGTTAACATCCAACAAAACGGATAAATAGCAAAATATGTGCGATATATATGTCTATCAAAGAAGATATGCTTGAAAGATCTCTTATATGTCGAGAACGGCTGAACTGATTTCGACAGTTCTCATTAATCTAGAATGGCCTCTTGGCAGGAAAGAAAAAACGTCTAAAAAATCGCATAAAAATATCTCTCTAAAGATGAAAATATTGATTTTGTAATATTTTCTCATATTCTTTCAATTTTGTCGTATTTTTGGCATATTTTCATTTTGAATCAAACATTTGGTAATATTTCTACAGCTAACAAAACTAAGTAGTTAGGATATCAGGATATCATATACAGATCGCATTCCTGGCCCGATCCTTACGAAATTTTGCATGGGGATAAGATGAGGGTCAGAATAGAAGCCTATTTTTTTTGGAGATGATCGCCATATATTTAGGGGTTGAAATGGACCAAAAAACTGCAAAATTGTCAGCAGGTCGTAATCGCCCGATCCTCACGCACATTTGAATGGGGGTTACCGGACATTGCAAAAGCCATTGGATGGCCATCCAAAAATATTCAATGTATGAAGGAGTTTGCCAACTTTTGTAGACAAAATACGAAAATGTCCATTCCAGTGACTTTTTGGAGAATTCACAAATACAGGAAAGACGCACTTCTGACTATTTCGTTAACGCTGATTTCGCTGAAGAATATAATCAAATGTCTGTATCTCATGTAGATGCGTTTCCGTCAAAAACCAATAATAAATGTTAATCTTTTGCCACTTCTAAGATATTATAGGTCTTTGGGAAATATTGGTTCCAGATCTAGAAAGACCATTTACCAATAAATTGGAAATGAGCAAATTAGTTTAAGTTGCTATTATTCGAAAATTAGAGAACGAAACCTGATGGTTTTCTTTTATTATTTGTCACAATATCTTGTGGAATTCTTTCGAGTATCTCGCCTATATAAACTGTATCATTTATTATAGTGTTGTAGGGTATTCAACGGTCGGCCCCGCTCGACTGTAGCCTTTGCTTACTTGTCTTTTTTGTAACAATAACAAAAGAAATGTTGATAAATTGAAATAAAAAACACAAAACCTCGTAGGACTTTGATGCCAACATACCAAAGATACAATAGAGCTTGAGAATAATATTATGAACATTGTTTGTTTTAACAATGCTTAAGAAACACTTTTGGCGCCAAATCCTCCTCAAGTCTGTATTTCTTTTTAAAAAAATTGTTTTTATTTTTATGATTGTCAGCTAGAAATTGTACTCTATTGGTAAAATACAAAGTTGCGGGATTATGTATTTTTTTCTTTGGGGACGGACCTGGGACTCCAGATTTTTGACTCGGGTTCAAGTCCCGCACTAGACCCGGATCCACTTACCCGATATAGTCAATATAGGTATCGTTGGAAACTTCTGAAAATACCTATCCAACAAGTGGTCACATGAAGTTATAGTGAAATGATCGATTTTTTGGACCCAGATTTTATATAAAACCCCCAAAATGTCGAAAAAGACTCCATTAAGGGGGTCAACAAATTTGATGAAAAATTAGAAAACTTTGGTTCGTGTTAGCCGGTGTGGGACATTCTCAGAAAAAAAAAATCTCAAACACCAGCCGAAAGCCGGCTAAATTTAACAGTTTATAGCCAACTGTTAAATTTAGAAAAACTTTAGTTCACGTAGCCGGTTGAACATACCCAAAAGAGAATATCTCTGGACCCGAAAAAGGTACTAGCACACATTGTAGCATTTTGGAAGGGTAATTTGGCATCAATTTTGTTGACACCATAATGGACCCTTTTTCGACATTTCGGGGGTTTTAAAATAATTCCGGTCCCAAAAAAACGATAATTTGACTATAACTTTCGTACCACTTATAAATATCCCCATCGGACAACTTGTTGGATAGGTATTTTCAAAAGCTTTCAAACGATGGAAAAGAAAGCGACAAGATAACAACACCACATGAGTCAGTGAACGATGGAAAAGCCACCAATGAACGGGAAAGGATAAAATGAAAAAAGTTGCAAAAAACGTTTAATCTAAACATAGAAATAAGCTTAAAATGACATTCGCAAGTTTATTCTACAATTATAAATGTAAGCTTGTACTTAAGGATTCAATTTCGATTAATCTGTAATTAAGATTTTTTCAAGTATAAGGCTTATGTTCTAAGCCTTTAATAATATTATTCTCAAGCCATTTGGCGGCAATATGTCCAATATTTTATTTCAGCAATTTTAAACCCATTAGGATACCAAATAAACACAATTGTACTTGGTTTTAAAAACTGGTCGTGGTGGTTTATTTTAGCAACCAAACCTTGTTAAGATTGAGTAAACTATTGTCCTATCTCAACCGAGTTCTAAAGCCATATCACTTACTATAAATGTTTTAAAAACCCCTCGTCCCAAAAACAACTGGACTGTTTTGGACAACTAAACCCAATTAAGAAAGTTCTCTTGGGAGAAAAGAAAAAACTTATAAAATTTCTTAAATTTCTGAGATGTTGGACGGACATTATACAGAAGTACATATTTCAAGCCCCGACTGAAAGCCGTTCTCTTAAAGAATAACATATAACAGAGACGACTCCATACTCTGTTGTTGCAGCATATCTCATATGGTAATAAAATGAATATAAACAATGTATTCATAATGTGGTTTATATGAACTATATGAAATAGATAAAAATAAACATATTCAAACAATCCAGGGTAAAGGATATCTTCGTTTGAAATTTCGATTGCATCGTAAACATTAGTAATACAAATAAACATGCATAGTTTGCTACTGCTGACAAAAAAAAAAAACAAAACGCTACAAATTGAAATCAATTGTACGTGGAACATTAAAATAAATTACCGTTCAACCAACAAAAATTTTTTAAAATTTGTCCGCCAAGCTTCAGTTGCTTCGAACTTATCCAATGACATATTTAGATTTTGCTTTTATATTAGACGGCACGATTTAAACACAGACACAGTCACTAGCAAATATATCTTTACTACATCGATGCTTACTCAATGAATATTGCAATTTTTTAGATGTCTTCACAATAGATTAGCCAAACTCACAGCTGCCACAAATCGTTAAATGTTTTTGAAAAACAATGACCCGCAATACAAAAATTTGACGAAAGCAGGCGTGCCAACATTGAAAATGTATGGAGAACCTAAATGAGAGCGCATTCAACGCAAGACCGTATAAGTTGTGCTCCGGTACTTTTTACTCAGATTAGCCCAGGATAAAGGTACGGTCAGACTGAGCAAATATTTGAACCAAAATTGTTTTTCCATATTTGACTGAACATTTGATTTTGATTGATTTAATGTTCACATTACAGTCAAAAATTCGACAGATCCCACGGCAGCGGGTTCTACGATACCGGATTGACCCGAAACAACAAGATTCCAGTTTCGGCCAGCGGCTGCCAGCCCAGTATGTACATGTTTGTGTTTGTTTATTTTTCTGCATTGGGAGCAGCATATCCCGGAATGCTTGCTCCGGATTTTATTGGTCCGTGCCGGGATTGAGGAAAACCCCGGACCTTGGTTCTGCTCGGTTTGTCAGAACGTCATCCACCACAGATCTGTCTCGGTGCGATGTAATGGATGCAGAGAGTGGGTGCACTTCAAGAACTGTTCCGGATTAAGGCGTTTGCGAGACTACAGCGAAAGGGATTATGTTGCGACTTGCTGCAGTAACGTAGTCCCCAGCGAGTCCTCTTCTTCGTCGTCCTCGTCAGAGACGTCGTCGGAGTATGGCACTCCACCGCAGTCTCCAGAACAGCAACCAACACCGCAGCACCTAACGCCGCATGTTGCTGTTCCAACTCCGGATTGTGCATCATTCTTGCAATTCAATTGCAACGGACTTCGAGGCAAAATAGATGAGATAGTGGAATTTATGAGTCGGAGGAATATTAAGATCGCAGCGGTGCAGGAAACCAAGCTGAATGAAAATTGCAGCCTACAACGTTGTTATGGTTACAACGTACTAAGGAAGGATCGCACCAGAAGTGGAGGTGGGGGATTAGCGTTCCTGTTACACCATTCTGTTCAGTACAGACCTATCTCGCTTGAGCTAGTCTCTAGTGACCCATACATGGAATGTATGGGGGTAGCAGTCAAGTGTGGAACTGCCGAGGTAGAGGTGCTTAATGTGTATATCCCGCCGATTAATAGCTGTGAACCACGTTATTTGCCTGATATTAGCCCATTATTGGTAGGCAATAACCGCCTGGTACTAGGGGATTTTAATGCCCACCATGAGTTGTGGCATTCCGTCCTAGGTAATGACCAGAGGGGATCAGCGCTGGCAGAGCAGATTGACTGCTCCACATTCTGCACGGTTAACGAGGATGCCCCCACCCGAATAAGAGGAGAGTGTCACAGTTCGCCAGACTTAACCATAGTGTCACCCGGTCTGATAAATGACGTGACTTGGCAACCCGTCATTTCTCTTGGCTCAGACCATCTCCCAATAATCGTCTCCATAAGCAGGTCGCCCGATTTCATAACCTCTGAACGCCGCACTTTCCTTAACCATGGGAAAGCTCACTGGCCAGAGTTCAGAGAATTCACCAACCGCCGCTTCAGAGAACTGCCCAACCCTTCTGATGTTCGGGTAGCAGAAAGGATTTTCCGAAACATCATCAGAGCTGCAGCCGCTCGCTATATACCAGCTGGTCGAATACCCGAGATAAGACCAAACTTCCCAGCAGAGGCAGCGGGATTAGCAAACGAGCGTGATGATCTCCGTCGTACCAACCCTACTGATCCTAGAATCAGTGATTTGACAGTGGAAGTCAACCGGTTGGTACAGGAGCATAAGAGGAAAAAGTGGCTAGACCATCTGAAGTGCTGCAACATTGGAACCGATATGAGTAAGCTGTGGGTAACGGTTAAGTCGCTCTCGAACCCTGGAAAAAAGGATGATAGGACCTCAGTCACTTTTAACGACGTAACGGTGACTGATCCGAAGAGGTGCGCGGAATATTTTAACCGACAATTTGTCGAGCACCCCGAGAGTGATAGGGCGAAGCGAAGAGTACTACGTTGTATCAGATCTCTTCCCGCCGAGGAGGAACCACCACAATTTACGATGGGTGATGTTGCAAATGTCATCCGTAACGCTAAGTCATCCAAAGCGTTGGGCCCGGACGGAATCTCAATGGTAATGTTGAAGCAGCTGGATACGCCGGGAGTCGAGTACTTAACGAAAGTTCTCAATTTGTCGCTAGCCACCCACATAGTGCCCGAAACCTGGAAAATGGGCCGGGTGGTCCCGCTACTGAAGCCAGGCAAGGATGCCAGTAAAGGCGAATCGTACAGGCCGATTTCGCTCTTGTCGCCAGTAGCAAAGACTCTTGAGGCTTTACTCCTCCCCAGCATTAGAGGAAGCTATGCAGTTGCCAACCACCAGCACGGATTCCGTCCACAACATAGTACCACAACAGCATTACACGCCATTTCCACACATATTAGTAGAGGACTAAACCAGAACAGGCCGTGTGACAGAACAGTGTTGGTAGCCCTTGACCTATCAAAGGCATTTGATACGGTCAATCATGCCACACTGTTTGAGGACGTACAGAGAACTACCCTCCGGCCAAGTTTGAAACGTTGGATAATCAACTATATGTGTGGACGCCAGTCGTACGTGGAATTCCGGAACAAGAAGTCCAAAGCCCGTAGAGTGAAACAGGGAGTTCCCCAAGGTGGGGTGATATCTCCGGAACTGTTTAACCTCTACCTTTCCGGAATTCCTCGCCCTCCAGACGGCATTGAGATCGTAACGTATGCGGATGATTGTACGATCATGGCGTCGGGTCCAGTGGTCGATGACATATGCGAAAGGTTGAACCCCTATCTCGCGGAGCTTGCCGCATACTTCCACGCGAGGAATATGAAAATATCCGCCACGAAATCAACGGCCACACTCTTTACCACATGGTCTGCGGAGATGAGAACACAGCTGAATGTTCAGGTCGAGGGGAATTTAATACCGACCACGAACTACCCCAAGATTCTTGGGGTAACGTTCGACAGCATGTTCAAGTCGTCCGCGCAAGCCACAGCTATCTGCGACAAGATGAAAAGTAGGAACAAGGTCCTCAAGGCGCTAGCCGGCAGCTCTTGGGGTGCGGACAAAGAAACCTTGTTGACCTCTTATAACGCGATAGGTCGGTCTGTGGTCAACTATGCGGCTCCAGTGTGGTCTGCGAATACTAGTGCTACGCAGTGGAAGAATATCCAGACCTGCCAGAACGCTGCCCTGAGAACTGCGACAGGGTGCCTCCTCATGACACCAGTGGACCATCTACATGAGGAGGCGAAAGTCCTTCCCTTACGTCAGCATAATCATATGCTTTCGTTGCAGTACCTGCTTGGGTGTTACCGTGAGAGCCATCCCAACCATCATATGGTGGATAACTCTCCCCCACCCAGGCGTGTCAGGAAGGACATACATGATCTAGAGAGGGAGGTCCAGCGCTACAAGAGAGAGCCTCTAGATCAAGAAGCCTATCAGGCAGGTCTGAGTGGCATTCACACCGATGCAGTCGCGGATGCTATTAGCAGTTATAAAGTGAATGCCGTCCTCGGAGTCCACCCCCCATCCATTGCAGCCGAAGAACGTCAGCTGCCTAGACAAACCAGGGTAGTTTTGGCGCAATTACGTTCAGGATGGTGTAGTCGCCTCAATTCGTATTGGGCACGAATTGATGAAGATGTGCGTGACGCCTGCCCGGCGTGTGATACAGGCCCGCACAATACGCTACACCTTTTTAATTGCTCAGCCAAACCTACCCAACTCACTCCAGAGGATCTCTGGCTACAGCCCGTTAAAGTAGCCGAATTTCTAAACCTGGAGCTGGAACCAGATTAGCAGAACACAAACACACACATGTACTACTGCTACAACAACAACAACAGATGTTGTTTGTTAAAACAGTCACCAAACAGTGTCAGATACGTCTATGGGAAACAAGGGAGAAAGTGTATTATTTGTTTTGAAGAAGCCAAATAAAAGACCAGCTGTTTAGGAATACGAGTGCTTTGCGAGAATTTTTGAATGTTTACATAAATGGTACAATCAAATCAAGGTAGGATAGCGTGTAGTTGCGTTTGCATGTGTGTTCTTTTCAATTATATGGAAATCTGTTACAAACGGAGTTTTGGCCTTATATTCATTTTGTGTTGTCAGTTTATTTATTCAAAAACAAAAAAAAAAAAAAATTAAAATAATATTAAAATAAGCAACCACTTATTGTACCCGTTCATTTTTATATTCATTGAACATCATGTGACAAATACTTCGTTTTATATACTTTCAAGACCTGTTTTAAAGCAAAATGCGGCGACAATGCTGATATTTTCCATGGTTTGACCTTGCAAAACATTTGTTACCAACATGTTTTACCAAATAAGAACAAAATATTTGAACATAAGGCTGGAAATGCATAAAGCGCATATTTGGCTGGCTTAAGTTATCGGCTGGCTTCTTCGTAGATGAACAAAGGAGTTTTAGGTTGACCTAATTCGATTTTGGCCCTAGGCTCATTTGTTCATTTCCGAAGAAGCCAACCGATGACTAAAGCCAGCCAAATAAGCGTTTTATGCTAGGAACACAATTGGAGCGAACGACGAATTTCGCCCTACGCGGCGACAAAATGAGCCGCGAAAATTCGTCGTATGGAACACAATACCGACGAAATTATAAAACAGCTGATGAAGTTGTTTACTTTTTGCTCATTTGTTGACTACAATGAATTATACAAGAACACATAATTCTTTACGTTCTCTATTATAATTTCACTTATGTCCATTTCTCTATTATAAATTCACTGATATCCATCTTCACTCAGGCGCAAGTACACAAATAAATAAACAAATTAATTATGTTTTTTTTTATACGAGTAACAGATAGTAGAGTGACCATAACAAATTTTAAAGTAAAAAGTAACTTTATTTACTAAAACACATAAAATTCGTACAAGTATGGCCACCTTGTACTGTTTTGTTCGCCGGTCGCCGGTCGCGGCGACCGACGAAATTTTCGCCGGTGCCGTGATTGTGTGCACTTCCATATACACATATGTGTTTTATTTTTGACGACGAACATACTCCGCGAAAAAATTCGTCGTTCGCTCCAATTGTGTTCCTAGCATTATGTATTCCCAGCTTAAGTGTTCACATTTTGGGCACGTTGGTCAAATTTTTGTTTGCTAGCAAATAACAAAAACAAGTTCATTTGTGTTTAACGTCAAATAATATTTGACGGTCAGATTGTGACTAAGAAAATTTTGAACTTTTTCGCCAAATATTTGCCCAATGTGACCTTACCTTAATAGTATGTTCTCATTACAATTTCAATCACGTTGTTCGCTCTCAGAATTAGGAACACCAATTAACCCGTTCATACGGAACGATTTGTAATTCATATTTCCATTTTTCAAAATGTTACTTTGTTGATTTTAATGGGAATTTGTATGAAAACGTATGAAATTCGCATTAATATGAATAGAAGAAACTATTGTTTTTCCTCTAAAGAGCTATTTTATCATTGTTTTACAATATTCATTCATGTTTTGACCCTTTGTTGACATTTTGAATCTATTTTTGTGTGTTTTCTGTTTTTTACTTTTGCTGGAGAGAAACTTGTCAATCTAATTTTTATAGATGCAAATTTTTTGAAATTCTACCTCTTTTATTTCCAGCAAATATCCCAACTCTTGGACAAAAAGCGTACCTCGAATGAGGGAGATAACAAAATTTACTTTCGTTTGAATGTTCATACGCCATTCAACATTATATTTCTCATTCATAATATTCAGTCTTCCTGAAAAATTTGAAAATTTCACATAATTTTTCTATTTTGAATTTTTAAATGTCATAATTTATTTTTTTAATAGCATTGTTAGCAATGTTACATGTTTCATCTTTGTTCTGTAAGTAATTTGAATGGAACGAAGAACAGAAATCTTTGTTCGATTAGCAAATTTTATGTGGGGAATTAAAAGATATTTAATAATTAATGGTCGAACGATTGATAAAGTGCCTGATAAGATTTTTTGGTCTTATATGAGTGTTTCTACGAATCACGTACGTGATTTCTAAATATGCGGATGTACCGTGAAAAAAGAATTTGTTCATATATGTTTATATAAAAATTTATTTAAAATAAAAATAATTCAGCTTTTATAATTATAATTTGTACTCTAATTTCAATAAATGCCATTGTAAAAAATATAGTAAAAAATGAAAAATCAAAAAATTAGAACTGCAATCGGGCCGTGGACAAAATGTTTCTGTAGGATTGTGTTCATATCCCTGTCGTTGATTAGGTATTTGAGATGGCAAATATTTGAAATAAAATATGTACAAGCCTGTCCATTTTGCTAATTCTTTATATAAGTGTTAAAAAGACAAACTTACTTTTGATTACTGTCACTAAATAGTACTTTTCTGTACTCGACTTTAGACTGGTCCCCTTTCAGTTGTATTGGCGAGCTAAATTATCGGAAGAAAACCTTTCGAATGGTATCCCGCCGGTTTTTGCAATAAACTCTTTCTGGAAATAGGCTATATAAGTAATAATAGTTTTTAAAGTAGTAAATAAATCAATCAGAGACCCTATTTTCTATACTTACTTAAAAATCCTCATTTTCAGCACTTTCTTCACTAAAATTTTGTTTGGCTCGACGTTCTCTTCAAAATTCTTTTACGGTCCTGGACATTCTCTTCATTATTCACATCTTCAGCTTTACTTCTTCTTTGCAAAATTAAATTTTTAACCTCTTTTTTGCCATCCTTTTTATTTTTGCCTTTTCTATTTTTTTTAATTTGACTGGCGACATTGTTCTTTATAAAAATTAATAAGTAAACAAACAAACTGATAAACGTACACATTTTAATATATTTTTTTTTCACTTATTTTACACTTTTACTGTTTACGCCTCGACGCTCTTTTAATAAATGAACAACAACTTTTTTATGGCCACTCCAGAAACGCAACAAAATGAGGCGTTACGCATAGCAAAATATGATCAAAAATACATAATTATGATCATTTTTCAAACAGCTGCATGATCTTTTTAAGACTAACCATTTTTCAATCTATACATGATTGCAATATGATAATAAATAATGGAAGAAACAGTCACATTTTACACCTCTCAATGATTCATTTTTGATTCCCATACATTTTGTTATTGTATAAAATTCAATGAACTTTTTTCGCTCATTTGGGAGAGTCAATTTCGAGTCGCTTTCTGATCGTACATGTGTGTTAATCATTTTTTGATCACTAAATGGACTCGAAGAAGACTCTGCGAAGTGATTTTTTCAAAAACAATATTCAAGTGAATGCTGGGTATAATCACTTTTCAAACAACTGCCTGATCTTTTTAAGACTAATCATTTTTCAATCTCTAGATGATCGCAATACGGTAATAAATAACGGAAAAATCAGTCACATTTTGTACATCTCAATGATTGGTTTGCGGTTCCCCTACATTTTGTTGTTGTATATTAAATTGATCTCTTTTTACTCATTTGAGAGAGTCATTTTCGATCATATAAGTAAGTTAATCATTTTTTGATCACCAAAAGGACTCGAAGAAGACTCACCAAAGTGATTTTTTTAAAAACAATCTTCCAAATGCTAGCTGGGTCATTACAGTTGATAAATGTATATGTAAAACAACCAAGAACTGTTCCTTTCAATCACAGGGAAACTGCTTTGTATTTTAATATTACAAAAAATATCTCACTCTTCTTGCGTAAATAGTTTTTGAATTAATTTTAAAATTATTTAAAATGATACATGAGTTCCAATTAAAAAAGGGTTTTCTTTTTTGTAAGAAATTACTTTTAGTCGAATTATTCGTATTCAAACGTATTCGTTAATAATTTGGGGCTCATGAAGGAATTGGAAGCTCTCGTCCAAGAAGCAAATAAGCAATTCCATCATTGAATTTTCTGTAATTTAGCTTGTCAAATTTCACTGTAGGGAAAGAAGGTTAACATCTCTGATTTGTGTATGTAGGATTTATAAATATACATTTTGACAATGAGATGTTGTGAAATGAATAATTTTGAAAAAAAAAATTGTAAACATATGATAGAATTAAGAAAGTAAAATCTAATTGTTACAAGTTTTTCAAAATTATTTATTTGACAACATATTATTTTTAAAATTTGTATTTGTAATATTTAATTGTATATACACAAATCAGAGATCGGTAAATTGCAGAAAATGCCGAGATGGATATGCTTTTTCTACAAGAAAGATATCCGATGGCTTATGCCAGAAGAAATCCTCTTTTGTATCCCCACCTAATATAATAATGATGCTCTATTCCATCATCTGCTAAGGTTCTACAAGTTTGCAATTTTGTTCCATATCATAAAAAGCTGTTATCGTAGTAAAAAGTTTTATATTCTTGCGGTTCTGGATCAAACCAATGATTAGTTTTGTGGAATACAATTGCAGTAGGGCGAAGCTTCACCTCAACCTGAAATGTTTCATTTTATAAAAACAATAGTGTATAGACCGATAAAAAGAATGGTGTTTAAATACGCTAGTTCAGCCGGCAAGTTATGTCGTCTGAAATGTCTTAAAAATAAACGCTTTAATTTAGGGTAGTACAATTTCGTTGCCAACCACAATTCATAATCATGGCTACCAACAATAAAAATCGAATGGCTTTATTGCTGGGGGAGTGTTTTCTACGTTAAAAGAAGATTTGAGAAATCTTTTCTATTATAGAACACAAGCGTTATTGAGAAAGGATTATAGTTCCAGGAACTCCTATGGTCTATAATCCGGAAATAATATTTTGGTATTTGACAGAGTGAAATGAAGAGGTATATTTGTATACATTGCTTTCATTAGTATATTCTAACCTATAATCGAGATTGCTGTGTGTTTGCAGGTTTGTATAAGATTTGATCAAAAGAGGCAGAGGAACGTGTTCCCTTATTACCCCAAGGAAAAGAGGTTTATAACGTAAAGGTACTTTTAATAAAATGACGCAATATTTACCCCCAAACTTGCTGGCGTTGTTTGCCGCACGGGACCCAATCCCGTATATGCCGCCAGTCGACAAATTGCCCCATGAGAAAAAATCCAGAGGTTACTTGGGAGTAGGTAATTTTTTAAATGATTTTGAAGATCCAAAAGATACACCTCCGCCAAAGAAAATGGAAACTCGACAGGAGAGACTGGAGAGACGCCGGCGAGAAAAAGCCGAACAGGTAGCGTATAAGTTGGAACGAGAGATAGCATTGTGGGACCCTCAAGAAATCAAAAATGCTACAGAAGATCCCTTTAAAACACTCTTTGTTGCACGAGTAAACTATGACACCTCCGAGTCCAAGTTGAGAAGGGAGTTTGAAATCTATGGTCCAATTAAGAAAATTGTCATGATTCATGACCAAGATACTGGTAAGCCCAAAGGTTACGCTTTCATCGAATATGAACATGAACGTGATATGCATGCGGCGTATAAACATGCTGATGGTAAAAAGATTGATAGTAAACGTGTCCTCGTTGATGTGGAGAGAGCACGAACAGTTAAAGGATGGTTGCCTCGTCGTTTAGGTGGTGGTCTTGGCGGCACTCGGCGTGGTGGTAACGATGTCAACATTAAACATTCAGGTCGAGAAGACAATGAACGAGAACGTGAGCGTTATAGATTAGAACGTGAACGCGAAGACCGTGAGAATGCCCGTGTCGCAGAAAGAGGTCGTTTTGGCGATGGTATACGACGAAGATCCCGATCCCGTGACCGTATTAGAGACAGAGAACGTGAACGTACGCGTCGTTCACGAAGCCGATCCAGGGACCGTAAAAAACGTCGTGGAAGTCGCGATCGTGACTACGACGAGTACGATAGACGTGATAGGCGCGACAAAGATAGGGAAAGAGACCGCAAAAAGAAACGTTCAAAATCGCGAGAGCGAGAGTCATCTCGCGAGCGACGTGAAAGAAAACGGGAGCGCCGTGACAAAGATAGGGACCGCAGAGACTCGAAAGAACGCAAACCTGACTTCAGGGACATGGACGTTATTAAAATTAAAGAAGAACCTATTGATGACGGTTACCCAACGTACCCCATGTATCCATCTGCAGCCATTAAAAGAGAATCCGACGAAGACGAAGAAAAATTTCGACCTCAGCATGAAATGTTTAGTGTTCCGCCTCCACCAATACCAGGGCGCGGAGTTAATCCCGAAAATGGTCAAAATGCAGCGGATCCACAACAACATTGGTGGCGATAAAATCAACAACATTAGTAAGGCCATCTACAAAACTTACACGTTAGATCAAGTTTTCATATATCTCAGATGGAAATCTTTAAATACTTATTTAAAGGCAAGAGGAAACTTCTGGAGTTGAGAAATAGTATTTAGTCTTTCTATGGTACATCCCTTTTATTTTGTCTTTAAACTAAAAACAAAAAGTAGTTTTAGTTTTTCGAAAACTGCCGTCAACTAGCAAATAAGACTAATTAATATCCCTCGGATTTATATTCTTATAAGATATAATGTGCATTGAAAACATTATTTGAGCCGCATTGTTTGCTGGTTGATTGCAGCTTTCCTCAATAAGCTTTTAAATAAAATTTAGAAAAATTCTAAAATCTTTTAATAACTTCACAAAATTTTTGTCATTAATTTAAGAGCTTATTTCTTATAAAACAACAGAAAAAGAAATTATTTTAATTAGCTATGTATGCTCATATATTGTATGATTGATCTAACGCAGTATGCAACAAATCTTATATACCAATTAAGTAATATTTACCCACAATTAATGTGTGTGTGAACAAACTAAAAAATGAAACAGTAAGTAAAATATACAACAAAACAAAACCGCGTATTATATTAACAAGAAGAAGGTGTACTTTTAATTCCCCTCTCGGGTAAGGGGAGGGAAACAACAATCGCATCTCGGACGAGTTCCAGAATTTCCAGTTAGCTTTCCAGAACAATTTGTTTTATAATTATTCCATTGTATTGACATTTAGTTGTTATTGTTGTTTAATCTACAATTAAACTGTTCTTTAATTCTCTTTTTCTTTTTGCAGTCTTGAAATGGTATTAAATTTGTCGAAAATTTTGAAAGTTAACAAACAATATCTAGGAAATGATTGGATACTTGTCTCAATGGTAATATAAAATGTAAGCAGTCTTCAATAAGAATGAAGCACACGAATCTAAGCAAAATGGGACTATTGACATTCAAGTCTATATAAATGAATATTTCGTCCCTCACTGCTTCGTTCTCATTGAAACCAGCTTGTAATAATTTGAGTAATGTGTAGAAACGCATAGGCCGTTGTTCAAGGTAAATTGACTAACACAATTTCCCATTCTAGCGCTTTGCTTGATCATTCCTCCATACATTTTGCCAGAGCGTTCAGGCCCCAACAAAAAGAACCCATTAAACCAATATGTAAGTGCCATATAAGCGATCTTAAATTTTTAAGATCACAACTTACACTTGCTGTTTAATATCAAAAATCTGCAATATCATACAGATTTTTTTCCGAATCGAACGTCGTGTTAAATACGTGTTTGTGTAATTCTAGAAAAGGGTAAGCATCCATTGTCCACATATTACCATATGTTTGTCGGAAAAGAGATTTCATTGCTCTTTTTATGTGTATTCAAAGATGGCAATTGGGTAACTGGTAATTTCTTGTATATTTTTTAAAATATGATTATTTGCGTATGAACGTGAGATTGAGGTACGAGGAAGTCAATAATAACAATCTTCTGAAGAGAAATGGTAAGATTTCTCCTCTCATTGTAGTCCTTCCACAAAAGTCGATTGCTGTTTACTTTGTAGGTAAGGTTTAGACGTAAAATGAATGCAATCACAATTAAAAACAAACAATAAATACATGATATGATAAATAAGTTACACAGATCGTTGTTATTTCTATCGGAAGGTATGTTACGTCCTCATACTGTGCTTACACCGGTAAAGTATTTTAACAGTGATATAATGGAAAACTGATTTGGCATGGTCCCTGATGTTTGTTAATTTTTAACGGATTAAAAGACAATTCAAACTATGATACCCAAACACTGAAAGGAAATTACCTTATATTTTCACAATGTTACAATTATGCGGGAAATATTTTACATTTAAAAACGCGACTGACCATAAACGAGAAAAAAATAAAATTTTATAATTTTAAAAAAGGCAATTTGAAAGTTTGCCTCGTAAAATATCCTAAATAGAGCAGGCAAGTTCCCCCTCTTCAACTTTGTTGAATTAATATTCCTGGATTCGGTTGATTTTGGTTCATCCCAACGTACCAAAATGGTTTGAGAATAATATTACAATAAGCCTTAAGCTTGAAAACGAATATAGAATAATCGAAATTACTGCTTTGACATGGTCCCTGATGTTTGTTAATTTTTAACGGATTAAAAGACAATTCAGACTATGGCACCCGAACACTGAAAGGAAATTACCTTATATTTTCACAATGTCACAATTATGCGCGAGATATTTTACATTTAAAAACGCGACTGACCATAAACGAGAAAAAAACCTAAAATTTCATAATTTTAAAAGAAGGCAATTTGAAAGTTTGCCTCGTAAAATATCCTAGAGCAGGCAAGTTCCCCCTCTTCAAACTTTGTTGAATTAATATTCCAGGATTCGGTTGATTTTGGTTCATCCCAACGTACAAAAATGGATTGAGAATAAAATTACAATAAGCCTTAAGCTTGAAAAAAAATTATAGAATAATCGAAATTGAAACCTTAAAATACTTGTAATTGTAGAATTGTAGCATACGAAAGAAATATTATATTAAGCTTATTTAATATAAGATTTCTTTCATTTGTTAATCATTTCACACATTTCAATCATTTATGACCATCAATCCAAACACTTTTTCCCCTAATTCAGCTTTTGCATCTCCTCCACTAATATAAAATTTCCATTCCTGCAACTTTGTTTATGCTTCCAGTCTGAAATGAGATTGAAATAGTATATACCACAGACTCGCAGATTTATTATCCATCATTACCTTTGGAATTCGGTCCACTGCGTGCCTTGAAAATCCATAGAATTCTTTGGAGAATCTTTTCATTTTTATATAAATGAGCTTAGTTTTGGTCCACATATTTCTATACACGCAAACCCTGACTTGGTTGTTTTTCCGCACCCGTTCCCGGCTTGACTTATATTCCAATTTTTCAAAGACAATATTGCGCGCTGTAAATTAAAACTTTGGGACAGAAAGTTTAGCTGTCTAGCCCAGAATGTCAACAATATTAGCTTCGATAACTTTTTTGGGAACCTGTTTCGGCTGTGTATATTTGGGCGTCTTCCACTTCTGTTTCAAGCATCAATAAAATATAGATACTCCCAAAATGCGTTTTAGAAAATATCACTGTAGACTGTTAGTCTCAAACTTGAGCGACACAATTCTGCATGGATCTACATGCAGCTAGGAACAATTTCCATTTTGAATTCATATATATGACCGAATTACCTACAAACTGGTTGAACGTTGTATTTAGTGGGTATTGGACATGTTTAAGAAATTTCATTTTTGGAGTGAATGCTACTACCATGTATTTAAATTCCTAGGATATTTTATATCTCCAAAAATAAAATATAATTTTCGATTTTAATATTTTTACCTCTAAGGCTGGAAATACATAAAGCGCATATTTGGCTGGCTTCTTCGTAGATGAACAAAGGAGTTTTGGGGTGACCTAGTTCAATTTTGGCCCTAGGCTCCTTTGTTCATTTCCAAAGAAGCCAGCCGATGACTTAAGCCGGCCAAATAAGCGCTTTATGTATTCCCAGCTTAAGTTCCACATTAATTTAAATTATAGTTTTAAACTTCCTTTAAACGGGATCGCAGCAAGTAAAAATATTCCACAAAATTATTTGTCATAAAATTCTACTGCAGGTCCTAAAAGACATCAAAGGCTAACGCAGGGAATTAATACATATTACCATAATGTAGGGATAAATCCGAACTTTATGTGAGTTTATGCAAAAATTTCCTGTTTTTTTTTTTTTTTTTTTTTGATAGATTTTCTTCTTATTTTTCGAGTTTACGCCTGATGGTAACATCTCTAAGCCTCATAGTAACATAACAGGAAAAGTCAAAAGAAATCGCTAGGTACTGTACTGTCCAGTAGTTTATAGGACTATAGCATGGTAGGATAATACAGGTAACAGCAAGTGTTATTGTACAAAAATCGTAACAACAACCACATACACATTTGTTTTTGTACGTAATACAAGTGTCAGAGTTATGTGTCCAAAAATGTAAACGAAATAATTAATTTTGAATAAATTATATAAATTTCAAAAATATACATTTTTGGAACTTCGATTATTAAATTAAAAATGCAGAAGAATACTTCTTAAAATATTTAATTTTAATGCTTTCACATCATTCCACTGAATGTATAGTTGTTAGCTGTTGGTCCTAATCTCTTAACACTTCAAGCAATCAAGCTTGTGCTTCAAGCAATCGTGGAAAAGGCAACATCTTATTCAAGTCGAAACCAAAAAGCATTCATACATAAAGTATTTTACATTTTGCAATTTTAGGAAACATGAAATATACGAATATATTATCTAACGTGTTCCTTAACCGCAAACAAAGTTTCCGAACCATCGCCTTTGGCGTTTGGCAAAAATATGTTCACATTGCCCTGCAGTTACATTTTATATCAAAAAAGGGTATACCTATTGCATATCAAGAAATGGAATTAAATTACAAAACGTTATATCGAGTTTGACACTATGTTTCTTACTTGCAATAATTATACCATGGGACTAAAGGTGAAAATTGTGTTTGCTTTTTATTGTTAAAACGCGTTTCCAATCTAAGTCAAAATCATGGTAAAATAAAATAAATTTACTTCTTAATTTTACCATGGTCAAAATCTCCATTTATATTTAATTTTTTTTGGGAAAAAGTGCCAAAGAAAGAAATCTTCTAGATCAAATTTCATTGTGAATTTCTGAATAAGAGAAATGTGTATTTTAATATGTACCATGGAAAAATATCATACATTTTTGTTAATAAAAAACATTGTTTATTAATTGTTACCTTTTCTTTTTTCCAATTGCCCAAGTCCCATGAAATACACCAGGTAGTAAAAGGAAATGAAAAATGTTAGAACTTGATGAACCCATCACATGTCTATATACATTTTATTAAAAATTATTGTTTCACTTCTAATATTACAAAACATATAGATATGCGAAAAAATGTAATTGTAAATTACTAAGTTAAAAATTAATCAAATGACCTCAGGACAAAGAACAAATATAAAAAATTGGAAAACATTTAGGCCTGACATTCCTCTATGAGATTTCTAGATGCTATCTTTTTCCATTTTATTGTTATTCAACTTAACATTTAGTTATTATCAATTGTGTCATTGTTTTTTCTTGTGAGCAGTGTGGTTTCAATTGTGGAAAGAGCATCAAATGCTCTTTCTACGGGCACTATTTCAAGCAGAAACTCACTTTACGCACGCACAACCGGCAAATTGAGCGATCGCAATCATAGCAAACGTTCGTTGCCATTGGTGAGCGATTTCCAGAAATGATTTTAACCACAAACGCAATGACCGATCGTTGTTGTGTGCCCACGCTCTTTAGTAATGTGTGTACGAAAATTAAACTAAAAGATTAAACTAAAACTTTTGCAATTCAAATGAAACTTTTTACAGCGGAAATGAAACCTTTCGCATTTGAAGTTAAACCTTTCGCAACCGAAATGAAACTTTTAGATTTATACGAGCATGTCACCAAATCGTATCGAAATGGTTTAAATTTCGTAATTCAAAATCGTTCGTTTTTGTTGTAGCTTCTT